GTGCCAATAATTCTGACCATGTCTGTATATATATATATATATATATATATATATATGTATATATAAAACAAGTTTAAAACTTAATGTTTTTAAGTATGGATGCTCCAGTTACCTGACTGGTTTAGATAAGTGGGGTTTACATTTTGATAGAAACATTTGAGGATTTTAAAACACTGTGGATGATAAGCTTTAATCGTATGTAAGTGTGCTTCACCATCTCTTAAGTTTGGGTGCTTTCTTCCTGTATGGCTAATTTATTTTGCCCCGACCTGTAAGGACTGGTCAAGTGGGTAGATAGATGAATGAATTCATTCGGTATTATATGTTTAAATTGACATTTACTTTGCTAGTGTGAGAAATCTGGCAAAGAAATCTATATGCAATGAAGCTTGAAATTATGCAAAACAGAAAAGACTTAGATGTTTAATCTCCAAAAAAGCAATTAACGTGATATTGTGCAATGTTAAGCCTAAATCCAGAGGTGGACGCGAGGGAAATGCAAGCACTCTTTATTATCTCACGCACTCATTTAATTATCACATCATGAGTGCCTAACTGACATATGCTTGATATGTTTTTTATTTAATGTTTGACAGAAGAAAGGTCACACAAAAAGATGAATTTCTGTTCATGTCATCAGCAGTCATCGTACGAAGCAGGCCGATTTTCTTTTTGTTTTGCCTGAAGTGTCCTAGGCTGAAATAGTCTTAAACCTGCTTTGGTTTTACTAGTTAACTGTCAGTTAATAATACACTCTCTTCTCTTATCACATATCAGGTAACTGTGTAAGAGGGATAATTCCTTAAGTAAACTGCACTACACACAAAAAAATGTCATTCCTTTTTTTTGACCAGTGTCAGATTTTTATTTTTTTTTAAATATTACTTTTGGTGCTTCGGAATCGACATTTGATATTACAGCCCTAAAAAGTGCACATGTAAAACTGCAAAAAGGAAAAGTACAGCTGTCTTCAGCTTTATAGAGATACTAAATCTGAGCAGTATGAAAGAAAGTTCATTGGTGTGGACTTGCTGTTTGTATTTGGAAAACCTTCCAACTTGAAATTTCTACAATTTCTTCTAGTACTGTGCAGACCCTATTGTTCAGGGACATTGTGTAGCTATAGTGTAGACATAGACAGGTTAGGAACCAATATATATTCTCTTGCTTTTATCACTTTCTTTAGTTTGTAGTTGGCATACAACTTGCAGTAAAGACATAGTTTGCACTGGATTTTACCATGAATCCTAGACTTTGGATTTTGTCTTTTATTTCCTTTCTGTGATCTGAGCTTATTTGCTTTTTCTTTTTGATCTACCATTGAGAGTTTTTTTGTCTTTCTTTTTTGCTTTTCCATGGCATCTTTCTGTCCTTGCTAAAAAGGTTATGGGGACAAATGCAAGCTCACTTTTGCCATAGATATATCTAACAAACAAACAAACAAACAAACAAAACACACAAGGTTGTTTTTGTATGGTCTTGTACAACCAACATCTTTACTGCATTAGGCATGTTACATGTCTGTTGTTGCACTAAAATTGTCATACAATTATGATTGTAATGAGATTCCATCAGTTTCGATGTTGTCACAGCTCGTTTTAGAGGAGCTCTGTGACACTGCATAAGAACCATCTGCTGTACATGACCCTAAATAAAGGTGGTGATATGTCTAACAACTCTGTTCTTGGAGAGTTTATGTAAATTGCATGTGCTATACTTTTCAATTGATTTGTTTTTTCTTGAAATCTCCCAATGTGACTAAAAAACTGCTACTATCTCGTAATTGCACATTTACACCTGACTTTGGCTACGTTTAGACTAGTGCATTTTCATTTTAAAACGCATAACTTTTGCTATGGTTACGCCTGTTGTTTACACTACTCTGGCATTTTCGACCCTCGAAAACGGAGGCTTTTGCAAACGTGGCAGACTCCACTTTAGTTAGAAAATTCCGGGGTTGCGTTTCAGTGTAAACGGACCAAAACGGAGACTTTTGAAAACGATGGCGTGGCTGCCCATTCGCTCAGTCTGTGTATCCTTGATGACCATGTAAACAATAACGTCATGCTCGTTGTACCTGCATGAATGGTCATGTGACATGCATTTTCGGTTGTGTAGTGTGTGTGGACAGAGATCGTTTCTGAAATGCAGTGAAAACACAAGTGTAGACGAGGATCTTTTTTTATTTTAAAATGCCGTTTTAAAATTAAAACGCACTAGTGTAGACAGGGCCTTATCTGATATGTATGGAAGCCCGTTTCCGCCACTGAATAAAAAATAAAAAAATTAATTGTGACTTTTTATCTCACAATTCGGACTTTTTTTCTCATAATTGCGTGATACAAACTCGCAATTCAGACTTTTTTTTCTCAGAATTGCGTGATATAAACTCGCAATTGCGAGACATAAAGTTGCAATTCTGAGAAATAAAGTCAGAATTGCGAGAAAAAAAGTCACATTGCAAGTTTTTATCTTGCAATTGTGGCTTTATATCTTGCAATTCTGAGAAAAAAAGTCAGAATTGTGACTTTAAATCCCGCAATTCTGACTTTATAACTCGCAATTGCGAGTTTATATCACACAATTATGACTTTTTTTCTCAGAATTGCGAGATATAAAAAGTCGCAATAACCTTTTTAAAAAAAATTTATTCAGTGGCGGAAACGGGCTTCCATAGATATGACCATACCTCCCAGCTATAACTTTTTCTTGTGAATTGCAACTATACCTCTCAAAATGTTTTTTTGTAATTGCAACTTTACGTCTTGCAATGTTACTTATACATCACAAATGGGACTGCGTCTTTGTATTCCCAAATATGTCTATACTTTTCATTTGGATTTTTTGTTTCTTGTAATTGCGACCCAGAATGAGTTTGTATCTTGCACTGACTTTATATCAAACTTGTACTTTTTTTTTAATTGCTTGTAATTCTTGAAAATTGTAAAATTGCAATTACAAGAAACATTACATCTCACAGTGCTACTTTATACTTCACAAATGTGACTCATCTCCAAGTTGTGACTGTATTTCAAGTTCATATCAAGAAACTTAAGTATTTAACTGTGACTTTACAGATATTGTGACATCTCCTAGCTGTGCCTTTACATCTTACAACGTGACATCATTTTGAATGTTTATCTCAAAGCAAACAGACTTCTGTAGATTTTTGGTCTTATGTATCTAGTAATTTTTCCCACAACAATTTGGTTCAACAGAATCATGTTTTCAACTGAAAACAATAACAAGTTACCAAGAAAGAAAGAGTCCAACTCAGTGTTCTGGGTGTTGCTGTAAAAGCTTTTTATTGCAAAGTACTGTAAATGCTTTTCCTTTTGGAATTTAGAAGTCAAATTTTCACATTCTCGATCTTTTATTCAAAACCAACTTTTTTGGCACTTGAAGCAATGGGTGAAATTCTGTATGCGAGTGCAATAATATCAAAGGCCATTTGAGCAGGGCTGATGGGTGCATGACAGTGTTTCAAGTCTGTGCTGCGTAAACACATGAAACAAAATCTACGTTCACAGGGTATCGAGACGTCACAGGCTCTATCCATTTAGCCATAAAATAAAGACATTGCCTGCTGACATTGTTATTGTTTGAACCATGCATGGCTTATTTTCTCTTAAGTTAGAATGTTCACAGAATAACGCTGCTTTTGACCTATAATACACTATTCTATACAAAATACAAACAAAACATGAACACAACAAAAAATAAAAACGTTGAAGTGACATTTACACAATTGTACAGCATCTGTCTCATGTTTAGCCTCTACATCAAGGTTCTACTTTACACGTATCTAATCTCTTATCCACATAATACTCAGAGTAAAAATCTGAGGGGAAAAAGGTGAAAAAAGTCTCTATAATACTCACTTTTCCAATTCCTTTCGAAATTGCCTGCTACACATGATAAGGTGCTGAATGGTACTACTATTATTGACAGTGGACGTGTCTCTGGTAAATCTGTCAAATTCCCCCCCCCCCCCCCAAAAAAACGGCTGACC